AGTAATGAGTTTGTAGGATTACCTTATCCTTATTATTTCACTAACCAGTGAAGGCCACTTCATAACATAGGTACACTTGAGCAAAAACTAATACACCAAATGAATCATCTCTACATGTCAATATGTACAGAAGACTCACTTTGCTGGGAACTGCAATACCTACATGTATTTGAGGCCCATTAAATATAGATAAGATTGTAGCCCCTTCCTGTTAAAGACAATAAACGTGTTACAAAAGACAATGACAAATAAAGCGAGATAGTTTTATTTTTTTACATGAAGACCCAGACTATTTTGATTTAGGATGTTCACTCCGGAGGAAAAATTAAAAAAAAAAAAAAAAGGACTTAACTAGGTAGCAAAGAACATTTAGTACAGCACAAAACTGTTTCCCTGCCTCAGAATTATTTTTTCTGATCAAGTTAGAAAATAATTTAGCTGATCAAGCAAAAGTTTTTATTCGATTTTGCCCAAGAGAATGTAAAAACAGATCAATAAGATATCTTTTTCACTGCAAAAATCTAGGTTATTTTTTAAAAAAAAACTCAGATAAACCTGTGGTGGGGAGGTGGGAAATCAAAACCAGGAACTACCTAGCAGATCAAAAGGTTTGAAACGTTACTTGATAACACACATCAAGTTTTACATAGAGGAAAGAAGAAGTAATAAAAAGTCTCCACTACAGCCAAGAAATACAAAGAACAATTGGGTGAACTATGAATTCCAGAAACTTCCAAACAGGTACAAATATAAACCTGTGGTGGGGAGGTGGGAAATCAAAACCAGGAACTACCTAGCAGATCAAAAGGTTTGAAACGTTACTTGATAACACACATCAAGTTTTACATAGAGGAAAGAAGAAGTAATAAAAAGTCTCCACTACAGCCAAGAAATACAAAGAACAATTGGGTGAACTATGAATTCCAGAAACTTCCAAACAGGTACAAATTTTACAATAGCAAGATTAAACTCCTGGCACTGGAATCCATGATAGTCTTCAAAGTCTTTAGTGCAAAAATTGAAGGAGGGGGAAAAAAAGACAAGCCAAAAGAAAAACCACACAGAACAAAACCAACAAACACCACTGCATTCACTGTACGCGGTGCCAACGTACGCTGCAGATAAAATGCCACGTATTGGTAAAATACAACAACCTTTATTATAGAGTGGATAATCTAATACCCCTTCATAATCTTAACCATTTGAAGCATCTACATTGACATAAAGGCAAAGTATAACAAGAAAGAAAAAAAAAAAAAAAAAAAGATATTCAGGTCAACCAAGATAGACACTTAAAAAAAAAAAAAGTAGCCTGTATATTCCTATTACCCCTGTGTCCAAAGGTCTGTGAGCTAGTCCCTCACTTCTCTATACTACAATTCTTGTTCTTCACTGTTGATTCTAGAGTGAGATTTGTCAAACCTACTCCAGAGGCAAAAAGACTGAAGTAGCTGCTGCTCAACATCAAATATTTTTGTACTGGACTCCTCAACGTCTGCAAGACTATAGACAAACACAGAGATGTTAATCAACCAGAATAGTAATCCAGTCATACGGCACAGAAAAGGCAGCTCTGAAACAGCCACTTCGGGCAAACCAAGTCAGTATCTTTCGGATTCGTCATAGTCAGATGTTCCAGAGATCAAGCCCATCCACATGACAGTATGCCTTACAGGCTTCTTCTTAAGTCATAGTGCCTGATAGGAAGGAAATAGAGCTTGCAGTTTTGATACAAGTCTATTCCCATAGAGTATTTGATTAAAAAAAGAAAAAAAAAAAAACTTGTTTTATGAGTGTTTTTCATGGAATCCCTAGCACAGTTCTACATTAATCCTGGTTCTCCTTTCTCATTAAACAGGTGTGTGCTGCATACTCTACAAGTACCTTGCACACATTAAATAAATATGAGAAATAGGATGCTGGCTTGAAATGCAAGGTATGCATTCAAACAATCCCACCTTCCCTGATCAGTCAGCACCTCTGAAATTCAGAACACATGGATTTGCCCACACAAAATAATGACTACCAACTGGAGATCATCACTTAAGATATTCAAACAACAAGCCTTACAGTATGATAAACAAAAACAGCATAAATGTCCTGAAGAGGCTGACCCATTTGCTCCCACCACTTACCTTGTTAACTCAACCAAAAGCACATAGTGTTTCACACACCTGAATAGGGTGAGTTTCAGAGGCTGTGTGGCCTACATATCACAGACAGGACTGATGAATTGATCTGTGAACCATGCTCAGGAAGTGTGGATCTCAAATATTTCAGGGAAGCACCAAGAATGAATAGCGACATGTGAGAACAGAGCAAATGAAGCAAAACTTTTCTAGGCAAGAGAGGAGATCAAAAGGGATGATCTTCAGATAGGCAAGAGGTGTCACAAGGAAGGCATCAGTAAATTGTTCTACACGAGCACTGAACTGCTGAAATCTACTTTTAAGTTAAATATTTAAGTTAAGTTTGCTAGATATAAGGATAATCGAACAAATTACCTACAGATTCAGTAGCACCATGATAGATGCAGATTTAGAGAAGTAGCCAAGCATCTGTCACAAGCTATTCAGGCAGTGGGTCAGGCATTGAAGGTGACAAATGACCCTGCCTCTCACAGGGGTTCTAGCCTTATTTCCTAAAATTTTAGGAGTTTAAGGTCACTAAAGGTAGATTATTTTGCATTGCTTCTTCCCATCTACCATTAAGCATCAATAATTTCATTAACTGATTTAAGATCTTATGCACTTTTTTTTTCCACTGCTCACATGAATTAGCTTCCCAGGTACATGCCTAAGATGCAGACTATAGCAACATAACTGCTTAGAAGGTTTTGTAAGAAGCAATTCTTTTTCTGCTGATTAATTTCTATAACAGTTGACTCCTTTAGGTTGTGAGGACAGTTCAAGGTGGTCAGGGCCACGACCTTGCAGGCTTGAGCTCCGTCTCCAAAATTTGCTCTCTGGCATCCAAAACCGTGTATTCTTCCCTGGATGCCAGAAGACCTCAGTATCCTCCATAACAGCCAAAACCTTCAAAATCTACAGCGACCGCATCTATACAGCAACACTGCCTTCACAACACACAAACACACAGGACAGTTCATACAACTCTATACTGGATCTGTGAAGTAGCTTTCCATGCACTCATGAAAACAAATACAGAAAGACCATTTTTAATTTTCAGACAAAGGGTCAGAACTTTTTCATTTTCTCTCACAAATTTAGTTGCAGACTTAACAGAAACAGCTGAAGGAATTTTCTAGAAACTTTAGTATTTAGTAATGGCTTTGAAGCATCAAATATAATCAGAAAAAAAAAATCTCCCAGATTTTATTCCAACTGCTGCTCTGCACATGCATTCTACAATAAATACCATCTTTTTCCTAATATGGCATTTATTTTTCAGTGTATGATGCTTATCTCTTCGACAATTACTTACAGTTCCATCAGTCCTTACTGATTTTGCAACATATTCACTTCTCAGCAAGGAGTTTAAAGGTTTGGAGTCATGGGTGGAAATTGCCCATTTACATAAATATGTTTTTGCTTAATCGAAGAACAATCTCAGTGTTCTTCCCTAGCTTTTGAAAATTAGAACAGACACTAGTCAGCCAACTGCTTCTAACTGGACTGCTAATACAGTTTGACGAAGCTCATTTTTTTCTAAATTAGTTTCAAAAACACTTAGCGTTTAGTGAGTTTCAAATTACTGTAGTGATGATGCTAAAAAAGATTATGCTGAGTAACCCATAAGGCTTAATTTGTAAATGAATAAAGGTGCACTAGAAATGCTAAAACACCCTTCATAGCACACAATTAATACATAAAAAAACCCAAAGCAACAGGAATGATATCTAAACACTCCCACTCATAACATAAAAGGAAACAATTTCCATCCGTTGTGAAAGATGATACTAAACAAGGGAGTTTCCACAGAAAAGGGTGGAGAGGGAGAAATCACTGAAGGCAATTGTCAATCATATGACAAAACAAGACAAACTCTGAAGGCTGTCCAAGTACTTTTGGCCAAGATACTTGAGCTAATCTAAAAACTGCTATTCACAGAATCACAAATACACACTTGAAAAAGCCTTCTCTCCAAATTAGCACAGGTATTTCAAAAACATGTCACCAGAGCTTTCTCCCCTCCTGGAAAGATGCTTAAGCAGCGAGTTTAGAACTATCCTGAATTTTTATTGAATTTGACTGTTTAGTTACAAGCCTTCAGATTAGACTGAACTTTATCAGTGTCAAACCATGAGACTCTTTCCTGGAAGCTCATCAAGGCTCTTGCATGAAATCTGATGATCAGCACAGGAGGATTAGTCAGAGGTGGCCAAGCTGATATCCTAGCAGAACAGAAACTTACTTAAATGAGCATGGAACTGCATCTAAGACAGAATCACAATGAATTCCCATCCCTTTGCACCAAAACAGAGATCTTATTCCTAATGGATGTGAAAGAAGAGACTGCCAACCCTTGCTTTCCTGCAAAAGTACCTGTGGTTGTTTCTGGAAAAACAGACACAAGATATCCAGACTATCAACATCACTTTTAGGGTAATGCCACCCATGGCAGATTGACATTGTCTCATGTCTAGTTTAGTTCTGCTGAAAGGGCTGAGCAGAGGACAGGTCTAGACTGAGCAGACTTATTTATGCATCGTACAATAAATCCAGTATCAAGGATTTCTCTCATTCAATAGAAGTTCCCGAACAGATGCTTACCTCTTTGCTACCACCTGACTAAACCAGTACTGTCTTAATGTAAGAGCCTTAATAAAATAATTACTGGGCTTGCTAGAAGTTTATCTTTGCTTAACTGCTCCTCCCCACCCCCCAACACACACGTTTCATTAAAGAGTTGATCTGTACTAAATCTCTCACATCCCAAATAAAATTCTTACCTGCGCATTTCAAAGATACAAACATTCATGTTAGCAAAACTAAACTTCACACATCTAAGTAAGAGAGGAAAAAAAAAAAAACACACACCTTGAACACTTCAGAGAAGAAACCAGAGCCAATTTTCTCACAGGTGAAGTCATCAAGACGAGTAAGTCTGGAAAAGGCACTTATCAGGGCTCTGTATGAAGAGGTCCAAACTCTTCCTATCTGGGATGTAGTCCCATCACTTCCACTGCCCCCATCAAAGTCTTCGGCGCGCTCCAAGCGTGGTGGAAATCCTGCTATTGAATTCCGCTTACTTCGGTCCATTTTGAAAACAAAGCTTCCTTTTGATAAGAAAGGACTTCTCACATCTTAGGTACTTTGCTGTCTTCTCTGCTCTTGTTGGATGCTAAAATACAAGAAATGGAGACGGTGATTATTGTAAATTCAACTTGCACCAGTTTATAAACAAACAAAAAGGCAGAGTACACGCAGGTAGGGGCACAAGGAGCAAATCATTTTCATAAAAAAGATGGGCCAGACGAATTAAACTGTTTTCTTTAGATTCTAGGAAATCCCTTATGCTCTTGGTACTAATAGATAAAAACATTTAGAGCTCAAAATTGAGTGATAACAAGAAAACCTTCATCCTTCCCCCCTCTCCCTTTTTTTAAGTAAGCATTAGCTGCTAAAGCAAACAGCTAAGCAAGAGGAAACCCACAGAATACGTTATGTTCTGTTTTACTTGAGTAACAGTTGGTGACCAAATCTACAGCTATCACAAGAAGCCCTTTCATATTAGGAACTGAACAAAGGAGCCCCAAATATTAAAAGGGATCAAATTCCAGTTGACTTATGCAGAATTATAACCTGTCAGCAATAGTAGCTGGTGCACCAACAACTTTGTTTTTAAAAACTTCCATGTACGAGTGCTTAAAGACCGGTTCCTTAACCGACAGGAACATAAGCTTAAATCCACTGAAGATCTAGGTCCCAATTTTGTAAAAATATCCACAATCCTGCTACAGAAACAAATTCTTGTAAGGAACTGCTAGAACAATTCTCCCCCCTACCCTGCAAGCAGTCAGTTTGACTGAAAACACAGGAAATAAGCTATATTCGTCAAGCAGGAGGGAAAAAAAGGGGGGGGGGATTTTTTTTCTTTTTAAGAGGATGATGAAGTAATCAGGATGACTCTGGAGGCCATCAAATCCGCCTTGGATTGGCAAACCTGACAGGTGGCCTACTTTTTTTTCTTTAAACTTTAGACTCAGGAGGTTATTCATCTTTTACACACTTAGCTGTTCATTTGCAGCATTTCAGTGAGTCCCTCGAAAACTTGAGAAAAGTCACGCAGATTTTTATTTTTTTGAAAGAATGAGGAGGCGAACAATAAAATAGTGGGGTTTGTTGTTGTTTTTGCTTTATGGTGGACAAGATAGTTATGAAGCATGGAGCAGATCAGGCTACTACCTTTCTGTTTACACAGATGTGCAAAACCTGAGCAATGCACTACTTAATTTGAAGAGCATCTGAAAAACTGCAGCTCACCAGCTGCCCTCTGAACACACAGCAGTGCTGCAAGACGCATGTTTTGTATGCAGGGTATCCGAGACACTCTGTGCCAATGCTCCAGAAAAAGCTGTAGTCCTTCCCTACCTTCAGGGGCAAACCCTGGGGAGCAGGGTAGAATCCATTTGAGATTGCGCTCTCCATAAAATGAAAATAAAAAGAGCATACTTTTCAACTTTGCAAGTTCTACAAAAATCTTTATTTCAAGCATCTTAAAACTTACTTCCCTAAACGAGCTTCTAGGGGAGGCAGGGAAGGGTGCAAGAGCCTTACGAGCATCTAAGAGCAGTTAGTCTTTTATCAAGCCCTACACTGCAGGGTTCCTACAGAATTTCCATGCAGACTCGCCCAGGTGTGAGCTTGCTGCACTTTGCAGATGATACTGCTGCAACTTAACCTTACGGTGTGCCCGGCTGCCACACAGGAGATCAGCACCCAGATCCTCTGGCCTCACCTTCGGGCCCCGGGAGCCCTGCAGGCCTGGAACTGGTGCAGAAGCAACACAAGCACAGGCAGACTTCTCCATCCCCCTTGCTGAGAACATGAAGCCCAGGGAACCTCCTCAGCCCTGGAATTTCTAAGGCGCCCTTAAATAATTCTTTTTGATCTGAAAGGAGCATACGCAGTTTAAAAAAGGAAGGGAAAAAAAAATGTTGATGGAGTCCAAATAGGAAACCATAGTGTTAATAATTCATTTCCTGGAATAGTAGATTTGGAGTTAAACAAAAACCCAACGTAATCAGGGAGGTGGGGGGAGGAGACGGGACACCTAAGCTTTAGAACTTAATTCACAGTAGTACCTGCACATGTTAGTCACTTTCTAAGCCAGGGATCAAGCTTTTGCCCCTAAAAATGCAGAGAGTCATGCTAGGATGGCAATGACTCCATAAAAGTAGACCAGGAAACTTGTAGACACCCCCACTAATTCTACTGAAACGACATATCCGCTCTGCAGGCAACAAACCAAAGCTACTTGTAAATCAGGGCTATAAATTCTACACATTTTAGTACTCAGACCAAATAAGATACATACAAAAACACCAGGAGAGCATTGCTGTTTCCCAAATGGAGGAAAATATCAAGTTAGGTAAGTGATATTAAAGCAGAAGCAGGGGTGGGGGGGAAAACACACACTCTTCTAAGCATCCAGATACCATTAAAAAAGATCAAAGTTTCAATATAGTCGCTCACTAAACTCTGTGGGTATATATATGTGTGTGTGTGTGTGTGTATATATATATATATGTATACACACACACACATATATATATGAAACAATGAAAAAAAGCTTTGTATGTATATATATCTCCTTTAGATTGAAATCACATGGTGAACTTTGCAAAAGTCTACACAAAACCCACAATGAAAGGAGAGATTCAAAGTGCTTCACACAACACAAACCCCCAAAGGTTTTGCCATCTGGATTCCCAAGTAACCCATTCCTTCATTTTTGCCTGCTAAAGCTTGCTTGTTTCCAGACAGCCACACAAAATCCTTGGAAATTATTAGGAGAGAGCTCCATTTGTCTAGTTTGCAATCCAGGACTGCATATGCAGAATCAGAGGAAAATTTTGAGCGGGCACAACTCCAAGGAGGCCTCCTGTCATTTTAGCCAATTACACTAATGATCACATTCTCAATGAAATCACCCGAGGTTTAATTGACTGTCAAGTCAGTCTGAGGCACTTTAATTTACCACCTCATCTGGTTAATTAAAGTGCACTGAACAGAATCCAAGTCTATCCTGCTGCAGACATACAGGTTGTTGTGTTTCTTCCCTCACTTCTCCCCATCCCCCCCATGTTAAACTTCAGCTTAAAGACTTTTAAGCTGTGCTTAACAGCCAGATAAAAAGCACCGAGAACTCTGTTTCCTGATACATCCTCAGCTTTTAGACCACACTTTCTCCAACATCCTTTACACACAGGGACACAAAAATCCCACCCTGCCAAGCCAAAAATCTTCTAGAAATGCATCTTCCAGACTGCCCACATGCTCTACCTCCTACATTGCTTACTACTACACCACTTAAACAACGTCCTACTTATTACAAGTGCCCACTTACCACATAACTGAAAAGCACAATTTTAGAATGCTTCATACTTCAGTGTAATTTCTTGGTTTAAAAACAAACCTTGTAGGGGGAAAAAAAGGAAGAAGAATAAAGAGAATGCTTTGTGGGTTGTTTTTTTTTTGGGACGGGGGCGATAATTATTATAGATACAAACCTGTTATCAGCAAGGAAGAAATTTATTTAGTTTTGAAAAACAATCCCTACACCTGGAACTATTTAAAGATGGAAACTCACAATATCACATCAAGTTATACCCCACACACCAATGCAAAGCTAGGAAGATATACTAGCCAGTAGAGTCAGGCATTCTTTCTATGCCCTACAACACAGAACAAAATCCTTCCAAATCCTTTTTACTACATTACTAAAACTATTTCTCTCTCCCAAGTATCTTCATAATATGTGCATACTTGCACTCAAAAGTCAAACTCATCATTTCCTTAAAGATGACCTTAACTACAACCACCATTTTTAGACACAAAACTGTCACAAGGCGTTCAGCCTGCAAAGCAAAGAATCTGGTGGATGCATGTTATTAATTTGAAAAGGTTTTCTAAAGAACAAGATGCCAAAGCTTTGACATAAGACATTTGCCAAGAGTTAACTGTTTAAACTCAGTCTGGTGTAGCCTGAAAACCTTGTGCTACAAAAACACAGAGGAATCTCATTGGCAGGTGCCACTCAAGGTTGTAACCACCAAAACAAGCGTTCACTGCAATAGCATGTGCAAAATTCAGAGAATCTTCAAATAAATCTAAAGAACAAAATCTCTCAAGGACTGAATTGACTTTTAAGCAATTATTCTGGGGGGGAAAGGGAATGAGAGTTTGGGGTTGAAACACACACACACAAAAAAAAAACCCAAATAGGTAAAGAGAACCAGGTGTTCCACAATTTTGTTTTCAACTGCTACTGTCAACTTTCCTAACCCAGGAAAGTCACTGCTGTTTGCAGCTTCCCCTCCAGTCCCCGGGAGGAGGACACTCCTGCCCGCTCGCGCACACAAGGCAGCTGCGAGCGCCAGGGCTGGCGCCTGGCTCGGCCCAGCTCGCGCCGCGGCCGTCCTGCCCACAGCGCAGCGAGCCCTCGATCCAGCCTCGTCCCAGTTACGACACTCAAACGTTCAGAGCAAATAAACAAACCTTTTCATTTAAGGTAGCAGAAAACCCCAGGCTCTGGTCAGCGCAACCGCAAGACAAGTTTCCCATAGGCAGGAATAATGTTCCTCCTAAGGGCCCTGTGTTACCCCTGCTGCTCCAGTACAGACACTGGGGGGTTTGCTAACCTGCACAGCTGATTTTGCATCGTCAATGCGAACAAAGCTCCTCAAGAAGCAGTGCTGAAACAAACAACTCATTTATTGTGTAAACCAGGCCAAGTTTGATCCCAACAGAAGCCTGAGCCCAGAACGCAGGACGTGGGGCTGAGATTGGAGGTTTGCGCCCGTGCTTGGTGCAAGCAGTTTTAAAACCTGGCATGTGCTTGCAAGGCAAATATAACCTGACTTGCATTTGATCTTTATTCGATCTTTATTCCAACACTATTGCCAACAATTTCTAAGGTCCAAATTCAATACAAAACTGAGCCTTAAAAAAAAAAAAAAGCCTACAAAAATCCATTTGTTCCCTAACTTGCTTGTAGTGATTTCAATCCATAATGCAGACAGACTGCAATAAGGCTTTGTTACCAGGCTAAAGTCAAATAAACTAAAGTAAATAATGAACAACAAATAGCTGCTGCTTCAAATGGGTGATTTATA